AGACAGACAGACAGACAGACAGACAGACAGACAGACAGACAGACAGAAAAACAGACAGACAGACAGACAGACAAAGACATCAGAGACGGAAAGAGAGAGGGACAGACAAGGAGGCAGAGAGAGAGAGACAGCAAGACAAAGAGATAGGCTACTAATAATGTTCTTTTCAAGCTCTGTCCTTTCTCCCAAATAATGCCTTATCAAATAAAAATATGAAAGCCATTACCATTTAGATAGTAGGTCACAGGAAACTATAGCATTTTGTTCTGGAAATATTCATCAGATATCTAATTTTGTTCCTTCAATTTGTTCTTGCTTGACAAAATTTATATGATGAGAGTGTAAGCATGAGTATGGTTTCTGTACTTTTTTCCCCGCAAATATCACTGGAGGTTAAACATTGCTATGTTAGGACTTTTGATGAACCATAGCTATGCATACTATTTGTCTTGACTAAGTTTGTGTTGTGTATGTATTGAAGACAAAGAGAAATAAATTTTTTAAATACTGATTTTGTACTGCACATTGTACATGTACTACGCACTCAGTCACAGACATTTTGATATCATTGCTGGTCGCTAGTGCAGGAAGTACTGGTTCTACAGCAAGCACTGTGTTTGAACAAATGCTTTGGTCATTGCATTAATGTTCATTTGCTTGGAATGTGACTTTAGGATTCTCTTGTTTCCTGAGACTTTTGCAAACGTCATTTGGAAATGTAGCCAGTGTGTCAGAGAACTATATAGGCCTACTATATACAACGTAAATAAAAAGCATTGGATATAACAGCAAAGATTGTCCCCAATAATATATCTCGCTCCTCTATTTGAGTCAGTATGTTAGTGTTTTAGCGCCTTTAAATGGCTGCTTGCACTGTATGCTTCCCAGGAAGTTGAGTTTGTTTCAGAATGCTCTCAAGTCTGCTGGGGTAATAGTATAGATTCTGAAGCGTATAGAGCTTGCTGTTGAGCGGGGATTTGCGCTATACAAATGTTATCTATTATTATTATTATTATTATTATGAGAAAAAACTCTTTTCAAGATGCTTGTGGTGACATCTGTATTATTGCACACTGGGCGCTATTTCTTCCTGGTGGTTTAGGCTTATCTTGAATATGAAGGGTAGGGACAAAGACTCCTTGAAAATAACTTAAATTTGAGAAATGGAGCAAATAATATTGTTCAGAGGTATTACTGACATCTAAACAGATTGGTGGCATGTTCTGGAAGACACTTTTTGGTACCAGAATAGCCTGAAAATAAATTGAAATTACATAGAGAGAAATCTTTCCCTCTACAAGTCATGATGTTATAGCATTGGTTTCTTTTCAGTTTGAGCGTAACATGGCTGTGTCACTCCATTATCCCTATTGAGCTGATGGATGTAATCATTATCAATTCATTCTAGAAGCAATAGCTATCTTTGTCTAGGTGCTGTTTTAGCCTGGAACAATTAAGTATCCCACTGCAACAATAAGGTATCAACTTATCTAACGGATATAAAAACATTAAAATTACAGCAAGCAACATAATTTTTCATTTTATAGATTTTTTCAACACAGTTTTTTTCCCCAGTAAAGCAAGGGTGAAAAAAACTTAGTCAGGACATTCCTTTTCCATTACTCGCTCTAACATGACAAGTTACTTTATTTTTCATTTATAACTGAGATAATGGTTCATAAGTCGTTCCACTTTGTTGACTGTTTTTTTTTATGGATCTTTTAAAGATTTACTGTTTGTTTCTTTTTTTGTGTATGTTTGTGAAAGTCATTCTTACATTGCATTTCTTTTAATCCTAAAAGAAAAATAATTGATTAGAAACAGTTACTATTCTTGTTCAAGTGTAAATTTTGTGAAATATGTATGAACAGCCTCGAACAAGACATTGTATGTACCTATGATAAATGATACACTGTACATCGACCAACAGACCAAAGTTAGAAGCTGAGGTAAACTGTGCGTGTAAATGTTTTGTTTCCTAAAAGATAATAACTTAAATTCTCAACCTTGCTCTGATAAACATGGAGTTTTATCGAAGCAGGTGATTTTTTTTTTCTTTTAATATAATCCCCCTCCTTTCCCTCTTTCCACCCTAGGGTCCATTTCTTTTTTCCAATTTCTCCTACTTCATCAGCAAACACACGCTACAGGAAAATTGGTCTAGAAATAATCAACAACTTTGTTGCACCAAGAATTGTGCACAAAATTATTTTTTTCTGTTGAGACACTGTAGATTGATTTTTATTAGGCCTAATAGAAATGATAAACCTATTTCTGATGCATTTCAAAGTACAGAGCAGGGAGGTAACAAGCCTTCTGACATAATCCCAACAAAAATATTGTCTTCTAAGAGTAAATGACGATATTCTATTTTGCCTATTCAGTTATTTCTGCTAAGTTTTCTAAGCTTCTTCAACTTGTGCTGTTGTGTCACGAATGTACAAAAGCTCATCGCAACAATGTGATTAAAGTAAATTTAGACTTTTTTTTTCTAATAAGC